GTCGCATTGGCAGGCAGCGCAACCAAGTGACTGCTGAGTTCCTCATTGACGATCAGGTAGGACTCTTCGCTCACGTGACTAACAAAGTTGTCTAGCAGGAGCACCGACGGCTCAACAAGCATGGGCAGCAACAGCGTCCTCAGGTACGTCTTCCACACATCGCCATCCATGCCTTGTTTTGCATGGCATAGAAGTGTCCCGAAGGAAAGGTCGGAAACTCGTTCGTCTCGATGCGGCCCCCCGAGGCTCCTCGGATGACAAAGAGCAGCGGAATCTTTGTGCCGTCCGCCCGCACCGTGAGGACAACGGTCATACGCATCGAGTGCTTCTCGCCCGACGCAATCTTGGCATAACCACCCCGTACGTCCCAAATGTATCGTGGGGGCATGTCGTAGTAGAAGCCCGTCTCATCAACATTGTAGACGGCATCATTGGTGTACTGCTGGTACGAGCGGTGGAACTCTTCTGCGAACTCATCGCAGACTTCGATGAGGGCAGCCTGAGTTTGCTTTCCTTGGCCAGTCTTGCGACGAGAAAAGCCATGACGGTGGCAAAAGACTTGAAGCAGGCGGAGGATGCCTTGGTAACCGGTGCCTGGGGCCTTGCCATGTAGATACGAGCAAAGCCAGTCGGATTGTTGACGCTTAACCCAGTTGATCATGTGAGCAGAAGTTAATGCACGCTCGCGTGCTCTCATTTCATTTATGAACTCCAGGAGTCCTACCGGGTCGGGGAAGCTCTCGGGTCGACCGCCAGGGCTGAGCTTCATTCGCTTTTTGTTTCCGTAGTAGGCGACGATCTCTTCTCTTTGGGCGACCCATGAACGAATGGTGCGTCGTGGGATGCCAACGAGTTTGGCGACATTGTGCACGTTGGAGGTCTCTACCAATTTTCGAGAACTTGTAGCCGAAGAGCGAGTTCGTAACCGCGCTTTTTGCGAACGCGGAGCGTTGACAGCGTAGTCATTGATTTGCAAATGAAATGTGAGGTGGAGTTTAAATTATTGCGCGCGGGCGGGAGAATAATATCATCAGCCAATGAAGTCACTGTATTCTGGATATCGATTATTATTGGACAAAAACAAAGTTGAAGCCGAAGAATATTCGAGTGGCGGGCGAACCATTCTGACGACCATTGTAGTGCTGTTGTGATGTTGGCGATGCGTCAAATGAAAGGGAGGGATGCTCGAGATATATTGCACAATGGAGAGCTGCCTTGTTCAAGTGGGCCATCGACAGACAGTACGCACAGGCCGGTGACGTTTTTCATGCACCTTCATGTTGAATGGAGCAATCATGTCAGCGAGCCCACGCAAAATCGCCCCACATACGCCGCTTGTTGGTTGGTGGGAAAATGCGCCTGGCCGTCAGGGCCGTCAGCATCATCGATCGACATCGAATTTGAGCACAAAGCAGCTAGCGTTATCCAGACCTCGCTTCCAAGTACATGAGCTCGACTAATAGACCCACGTCATTTCGACGGTGGACGACTCGGTGGCGCAACACACATCACATCATGAAGCAAACTCGAGCACAATCGAGACAAGTGGGCGTATGCATCTCAGCCTTCCACGGCAGTACAACGGACAAGGTAGGTCGCGGGATGTGGGAACATGAGGCCAGCTTTGCGCATTGAACGCGTGGTGGGCAATGGATCCATCTCGTTGAGGGGGCGTCTCGGGGCGCAACCAATTGGCCGTTTCAACGTCCCCGCAAGTATCCGGATGGACATCCGGTTGACTGTCGGCGTAGCTTGAAACGCCCCCCCCGCGCTGTAGACGGCAGGCACATGTGAATGGTGGACCGGACGCTGTACCCGCGAAAGATCCGCGTCCTTGGCACTAAGGACGACGAGGCTGACGAAATCACGATCATGCAATTCAACGTGCTTGCGGATGGGCTGTGCGACTTGCGACAGGACAAGGGGAACTTTGTCCTTGCGCCTCGAGATTGCCTGCCATGGACCTATCGCCGCAACCTGTACGCGTCCTTCTTCTCGATTCTTTCATCCTAGATGACATGTTCATCATGACAGAATTCTCGACGAGATCTCTCGATACGCACCAGACATCATTTGCCTGGAGGAACTGGACCATTTTGACTGGATGCAGACACAATTGGATGCGACGGGATACAGCGGCCACTTTGCCGCCAAGCTCGAGTCCCCTTGCTTTGAGTGCAGCGACCGTCCCGACGGATGTGCGATCTTTATCAAGCGCGCGAAAGGACTTCAAATCAAGCACATGTGCACGATCCGATTCCACGACGACCGTGGCGCGCCGACGAATCAACTCGCCTTGATTGCGCGTATATCGCAGGACGGGCTGCCCCTTCTCATTGTGGCGTGCACCCACCTCAAGTCAACGAAGTCCAAAGCTGGCGAGGCCATTCGACTTGCCCAAGTCCAGCAACTGCACAAGCACGTCGTCGATCACGGTGGTGCCGACGACCCGATGGTGATTTGCGGCGATTTCAATGCGATCCCCAGCGACAACGACGAGTACGACGCGCTCGCGATCCCGGCCATGCTCGACTTTGGCTGGATCAGCTCGTATGCTGAAGCCGTGTCCGCTCCAGTGTTCGTTCAATGCAATCATTACCGCTGACGTGATGAACAATGATGTATATCGTAGGTACACGACATGGAAAACCCGGTCGCGCGGCGAAACCAAACACGTGATCGACTATATTTTCCACAATCACAAGCTGAAGCTTCTGCGAGTCGTGGACGCCCCCACGGACGTCGACTCGTCGGGGCTGCCGTCGCGCCGATATCCGTCCGACCACATTGCTCTCGTCGCGACGTTTCAAATCACGTAGCAGGCGCCATGATTGACGTAGCCAGATGTCGTTGTTTCCCGTCGATCCTTTTCTCGCAAGATGAAGACTGGGATTTGAATTGTGTGATGGAAGTAGCACCCATGTTCCAACCTTTCCAGACCTCTACGTAGATGTCTCGTTGGAGCGTGCTACTGCCGAAGCGACGGGGAACGCCGCTTGCCCACCCTTGTCGTCCCCTTGCAGTGTGGCATGGAGCCGCAGCGCGATGTACAGCTGCATGGCGACGACCACGTGGAGATGGATGCAGCGGGACTCCACACACACACCAAATGCTAACACAGTCCAAGAGCTGGGCAAGCCAACGTGCTTGCAGCTCTAGTGTGAACACCACGAGAGAAACCTAAAGGGATGCAAAGGAAAAGGTTGGATTCTATAGAACAAGCTGTGAACAGCGCATTCCAATGCGTGCCGCGACGGCATGTGTTAGATCGTTTTGGCAAGACGTGACGCTTAAGGGGCCATGCGAGGCACGAAGGACGGAATGCCCGTGATGGCGCGGCCCAAGATCAATGCGTGGACGTCGTGAGTGCCTTCGTACGTGTTGACGGCTTCCAAGTTCATCGAGTGGCGGACGACGTGATATTCGTCCGAGACACCGTTGCCGCCAAGCATGTCACGCGCTGCGCGGGCAATGTCGAGCGCCTTGCCGCACGAGTTGCGCTTGACGATCGAGATGATTTCAGGCGCGACCGGCCCTTGGTCTTGCAACCGACCAACTTGCAAGCACGCAAACAGCCCAAGGTTGATTTCGGTCAACATGTCCGCCAGCTTCTTCTGGATCAACTGGTTGCTAGAGCATGCACAAGCGTCATCCAGCCATCGCTGTATTAATAGAGATGGCTCGTACGCAGCAAGTGGCGCGCCAAATTGGTTGCGGTCCAAAGTGTATTGGCGAGCAATGTCGAAGCACGAGTCTAATACCGCAGGCATGATGAGTTCATGACGCGATGGGAGTGAGCGGATGGCGACGTACAAGCCGCGCCAAGAGATCCCCACGCAATGCCGTAGCGAGCGCTGTTCAGGCACGTAAATGGCCCCTACGAATCCATTGACTCGATGCGCTGCCAATACGACGAGTGGGGCTGTACCTTGAGGCCTTTGACATGAGGAAGCATGTTCTCCTTGGGCACCTTCACGTCTTCCAAGGCAATCTACACGAACGTATCCAGTTGAAGGAACGTTCAAAACGAAGGTTCGCAAGGAACTTCGTGGATGGGCATACCATGCCGGTCGCAGACGCCATCAAGGTGGCCTTGCCTTCAATATACGATGTCGAGAGGCCGGGCATGTCCTACGGGTCCACAGTGAAGCAGGCACGATCGAGAGGATTGCAGCACCTTTTCAAGAATGAACCCTCGAATGTCGCCGTGGTCGTCCTTGGCCCAGATAATGAACACGTCGGCGATGGGAGCGTTCGTAATCCAGTTCTTGGCGCCGTTGATGACGAAATGGTCCCCATCAAGACGAGCGCGAGTTTCCATGGAGCTCGGGTCCGAGCCATGGTTGGGTTCGGTCAAACCAAAGCACCCGATCAAGTTGCCCGATGCCAATTGGGGAATGTACTGCGGACAGGTAATTAGCTACGGACTGCAACGGAAAGGCCAACGCGCACCTTTTGCTTTTGTTCTTCCGTGCCGAATTTGTAGATGGGCCACATCACCAACGAGGATTGCACACTCATGGCCGAGCGGTAAGCACTGTCGACGCGCTCGACGGCATTTGCAATCAGCCCGTACGATACATAGCCGACGCCGGCGCAGTCGTAGCCCTTGATCGTGGGGCCGAGCAATCCCAATTCGCCCATTTCCTTCAAGATGTTCTTGTCAAACGAAGCTTCGCGATTCGCCTTGACAATTCGGGGCAAGAGTTCTTGCTGGCAGTACGCGTTCGCTGAGTCCTAAGGCAGGAGCAACATGACAATCATAATCGGTAGTGTGGCAAGACGTACGCGAATCATGCGTTCTTCGTCGGTGAGGGCCCCGTTGAGATCGAGGGGATCTTGCCAATTAAATGCACCGGCCTTGGCGGCCATGGAGCGGGCGCCAGCGGTCGGAAGCGCCGCGCGACGAGCAAGGCGGGACAGCATGTCGAAGTCTTGTGGGTATGAACTGCAGAGGGAAACTGAGAATTTCGACGGTCCCCGCCGTCTACGATTCGTCAAAGTTCGACACCCTCTGAAATGCGATTCTTGCACCTGCGACAGTCGAACGAACGCGGTGTACCCCAACCATCCCGGTTGACTCTGGTTTGCGATTGCAATCAAGGCGGCTCAATGCCAGGCTTCCGACGCACAGAGGTGATGATTGGCGTGGAGCGTGCAGGCGCTCCCCCGCGGACTGATGGCCATGCCATTCCACTTTGGTTCTGGTTGTTGCACAGTGGGAGCGAGCGACCTACGTACTGTAAACCGGCCACCGACCACAAGCAAAAAGTGAGATGTGGCTGCTCTCGAGCTCCGCAGCCATTTTGCGGCCGTAGTAGACGGGAGATGCGCAAATTAAATCTGTGGAAGCGGGTGCCCCCTTGCTCACAGAGCTCAGGATGTGTGGGCAATGCAGCACGAAGAACTTCAATCCTCGACAACACCAATCGATGGATTTCGATAAAGTACGACATGTACTTTAACGGCATGGGTAGGTTCAACTTGCAGTCTGCCAACTTCAACGATACACTTTTTATCCAATCAACATACATCAACTCGAATTTTTAGCCAATCCAAACAGATTTGAATTGTGCACCCACACACCGGAGGTGTGTTAAATGGCGGCCGCCACATCGCTCGCTCTGGCGACGTCCAAGGGGGCGTGCTCGGCCATATCACGCTTGGACAGAACTTCGTCAGTCGTTCCCTCAGACACTGGAGCCATTGAAAATGCATACACAGCTTCCTTCGTCGCGTGCAGCGTCAAGGAGATGGCACCACCTTCGCCCTGGTTGAGTGAAAAATCGTATTGCCCTGGCACAATCTTGCGCTTCAGCCCGTGGCCGATGCGATGGCCAAATGTGCACAACGCGTCGACAGGCACTTGGAGTAGCACGTTCCTTGTCGTATACTTCGGAACGTCTACCTTGACAAAGTGGACGAGGCGTTTTGCTTCAGGTACGTCACCTCGGCGAATGGGTTGCCGCACAAACAGCAACACAATTTCTTTCGCGTCCACTTCCCCATTGTTGCGAAGCGTCACGTGAAAGTGGAGATCGTTCAAGCTGGACTTGGTGGACAGCGAAAAGTTCGAGTACTCGAACGAGGTGTAGCTCAGGCCAGCTCCGAACGGCCACTCGTGGTCGCATTCGCCAGACGTGCCATGTACAACACACCCGAGGTTCTGGCGGTGGTAGTACGGCACGGCGCTGTCCGTGACAGTCTTGGGATACGTAAACGGCAGCTTCCCACTCGGGACCACCTTGCCCAAGAGGACGTCGGCAATGGTGCGACCTCCCAGCTCACATGGCAGCATCGCATTCACCACGGCGTGGACGACGTCGGGAAGACCTCGCAGCAACCGAGGACGGCCTTGCACAAGCACCAACACGACCTTGGTTCCTGTCGCTGCCAGTGCACGCACGTACTCTTGTTGGCCTCGAGGTAGCTCCAGGTCGTTGATGTCGCCAGGCTTCTCGGCGTACGGCCCTTCGCCCAACACGACGATGGTGTAGTCGGCTCGCGCCGCCTTCTTGACGGCATCTTCGAGCACGTCCTTCGAGTACGTGCCGTCGACGTCAACACCAGGCATGGCTTCGATGGCGCAGGTCGGACACGTGACTCGCAGTGCGTCTTGCACAGTCTGTCCGTGGGGAAACAAAGCGTTCGTGTTCGGCCCCGACACGCCCTGCCACGCGAGGCTCCAGCCCCCGCAGAGGTGACCAATGCTGGCGATCGACGGGCCCGTGAGGAAGATGCTCGTGGTCCAATTCGCAATCGGCAGCGTCGAGTTGGCATTCTTGAGGAGCACGAGCGACTCGGTTGCGAGCTTGTACGCGAGGTCCTGACTCGCTCGGTCGCCTACCGACGCCACGTTCGCTTGGCCCGGCACGGGCGCGTCGTACAGATGAAGCCGCAGCTTGAGCGCCGTGATTCGCTGGACAGATTCCCGCAGCCGACCGACGTGGAGCTGCTTGGTCTCCAGCAACGCGAGAGTGTGGTTGATGAAGAGCGTATCGGACGCGACCATGCTCATGTCGATGGATGTGTGCGTGAGTGCTTGGCGCACCGCGTCCTGGTCGGTGGCCGCGACATGGTGGAACGAATGGAGGTCATTGATGACAGCCCAGTCCGTCACTAGCATGCCCTTGAAGGCCAAGTCGTGGCGAAGCAGCTTGACGAGCAACTTGTGGTTGACGCCCATGGGCTTGCCGTTCACGGACACGTAGTTCATCATGCCCGTGAGCGCGCCGGCGTCGATGGCCGCCTGGAACGGCGGCATGTAGTAGTTGAGCACGTCGTAGTCGGAGAGCGTGACGGGGTCTCGGTCGTGGCCCGTGGGGGTCGCCGCGTACCCGATAAAGTGTTTGAAGCATGCCGCGACAGTGTTGTTGTCTTGGAGGCCGTGGACGATGGCACGTCCGAGCTCTGTCACCACGTACGGGTCTTCGCCGAACGTCTCGTACGCGCGAGCCCACATCTTGGACGTCTGGACGTCAAGAATCGGCCCAAAGATCCACGGTATTCCCGCCGCCTCCGTGTCGCGACCGGTCACATGGCCCATCTCGGTCACCAGGTCGCGATTGAAGGATGCGGCCGCGTTGATCTGCTGCGGAAACATGACTGCGTGGGTCACGTAATTGGCCCCGTGGACCGAGTCCAGTCCGTACAGGATCGGGTGTTTGCTGTGCTTGGCATGGATCGACTGGATGGACGTGAGGAGCGTGCGCCACTCTGTCGCCGTCCACCCGGCCTTGGATCCGACGGGGCCACCGGCGAACGGCGAATTTAAGTACGACCCGATGTGGAGTTTGGCCATGGCCTCGACCTTGGTAACGTTGAGCGTCCTGTCGCTGTTGAGGATTGTCGAAATGTCGACTTGGGTCATTTGCCCCACGAGCTCAGTCAAGGTCTATCGCAGGTCAGCCCATGTGACTCAGTATGCGTTCGTTCTTACCATGTTCGCGACTTCGGCATATGCAAGCTCATGGCACGTTTGATATGAGTCGCATCGAGCCTGGGGTCTGGCTAGAACGAGCGATGTTGCAAGAATCGCAACTAGCCAACGACGCAAGATCGCCATGGCGTTCCTTTGGTTCGATATCTTTGACAAGAAGGGCAACAGCGTGTGATGGGATTTTGGTTACGTTTCAAGGGTCACGGACAAATTAGTTTACACTTCCGTGCGCGAAATAATTATATACTACGTACATTGAAATTTTGTATATTGGAGTATGTCCGATATTTTTATCGGAAATTAATCACCATAATGTACTTCGAGGTACACATTTTGTAGAATTTGGAAAAAACCGTCAAAACCACCAACCGGGAACTAAGCCACGACGAGCGCCGCTGTTTGTACCACTCCCTGCTCCGGCGTGTAACGAACGGACGACTTGAGCATGGAGCGACAACTGCGTTGGCCAAAGAGTTCCATGTTTCACGCATGACGGTCTGGTGACTATGGAAGAGGGCCATGGACACTGAAGAGTCTGTCGGGGTGGCTTGCGTTGCACCAAGGAAGAAGGGCCGATGCGGACGGAAGCAGAAGAGGGCGCTTGCTGATGTGGAAGCGGCTGTGAAGGCAGCGCAACCTTTTCATCGTTCAACCTTACGCACATTCGCAGCAACTACGGGTATTCCGGCAACAATGCTCTGGCGTCTCGTCAAGTCGGACAATATAAATCGCCGGACGAGTCGTCTCAAACCGCTCCTTTCAGTCAAGCACAAGGAAGAGAGGCTTGGATTTGTCAAGGGTTTCCTTCGCCAAGGTCCGAATGACTCACGTTTATGGCACGACATGCTCGACATGGTTCACATTGATGAGCAGTGGTTCTTTCTCACCCAAGTGAACCGGAAGTACTACCTGTGGAAGGACGAGCCTGTGCCAGCGCGAAAATGTAAATCAAAGCGCCATATCACAAAAGTCATGTTTTTGACTGCGGTAGCACGTCCAAGGGGGGATCCTCGACGACGAACGACGTGGGATGGAATGATTGGAACTTGGGCGTTCGTTGAGACTCGTTTGGCTCAGCGACGAAGTGTCAA